GATAGAGTTTGTTAGCTCTATGTAAGGATCGTTGTCATGATTACTTACTCCCCTCTTGGCTTTTGTCAAAGTCAATCCCCTTGAGTGTTAAACTTAGGTCTAGAGAGTTTTTTTCAAACTTTATACAAACATTTTTATATTTGTTCCACCTTGGAGTCTTGACCATAGTCAAGTATTCCTCAACCTTATTGAGGTGAACTACGGTTGCTCTGATTCCATCCTAGTAAGGATACATAGGCATAAGATGCAATATCTTTGTGAGCAAACTTAGAACTATCCTTAGGTATATACCTCAACTTTACCCTAACCTTGTCCCCGTAACCCTAGCAAACAACTTAGATAACTTAGCATACATACACACAAAAGGTTCCTGTAGAGTACTACAAATGTATAGGATGTGAAATACCTACCCTAGGCATAACCAACCCCCGATCCCCGAATCTTTAGCGTTGTTGTTACATCGCGCACAAGTTTTTTATTTCTTTAACATTTCCTTTGGATAAATCAAAGCTCGGTGGAGAACTTTAATGAATTAAGATTCAAGTTAATTAATAGCTTGACATCTGATTCTCACCGCAACATGTATCAAAAGCTAATTGGTGATTTTGTTCCATGGGAAAATCAGACGGTTTTGCACAAAGCAAGCCAGCTTCGGAGATGATATCCAATGCATATTTTCATTGAGAAAAAGACAAACCATCAGGTCCACAAGTAATCTCAAAACCAAGAAAATATTTCAAAACGCCCAAATCTTTCATGTGAAAGCAAGTGCTAAGATAAGCTTTGAAATGAGCAATTGCTGCTGATTCATTACCTGCAATGATCAGGTTGCCAATGTACACAAGTATGTGAAGAACAATACCATGTCTTTCAAGAGAGAACAATGAGTAATCGATATAGGAATGAACAAATCCAAATGACTTTAAGGCAGAAGCAAGATTAGAAAACCAGTTACAAGGGGCTTGACGAAGTCCGTACAAAGATTTCCTCAATCTGCAGACCTTTCCGGGAGAAATGCCTGAAAATCTAGGAGGAAGGCTAATATAAACTTCTACATCCAGGTCTCCATGTATAAAAGCATTGTGAACATCCATTTGATGGAGTTCCCTACCACGAATAACAGCCACCGCAAGAAAAACACGCATGAATACCATCTTTGCAAACGAAGCAAAGGTCTCATTAAAATCAATACCATCAACTTGATTGTTTCCGAGAATAACAAGACGCGCTTTGTGTTGTTCAATAGTACCGTCAGAGTTGTACATAAATTTGTACACCCATTTACACCCAATAGTTTTCTTTCCTTGTGCATGGCTTCACGCCGAGAAGAATAACGAACAACTTCAGAGAAACGTGTTGGCTCAAATCCTGCGATTACTATTGCCATGAAACGGACATGGGAGGCAGAAAAATTATTGCAAGTCACATAATTAGTTATGGGATAAGGCGTACTACCTGAAGGTGGAGATTACAGAGGTGGCACAAAGAGGGGGTCTAAACAACGCGTTGTATGACAAACAAAATCCCGCAGTCGAACTAATGAATGGAGATCTCATGAGCTGCGTCGGCCATTAGTATTATTTGAAATGGGATGAGGGTCTGTCATCTCATAAAGAGAAATTTTTGCAGGTTTTTCTAACGCAACATGTTTGCTCCCCCTTAAGTCTAACATATTAGTATCATTCTGTGAGGAATTTGTAGAGGGCACAGTTTCAACATGTTCAGCTAAAGTAAAAACTTGTTCTGATATAGGTGGGGGAAGTGTGTCATCTTGTGATGTTGTATGAACTATAGGTGCCATGTCATAAGTTGCAGGATGAACACTATTAGTAGCAATGGCATAAGAGGTATGAGAATGTTTGTAAGAAAAATGATTCTCATAAAACACAACATCCCGAGAATTAAAGTAATCCTTAGTATCAATATCAAATAGTCTCCACCCTTTCTTTCCATGAGGATAGCCAATAAATATGCATTTCCTACTGCGTAGAGATAATTTATTTCGATCACGAGGAACTTTGGAGGCAAAACAAAGACATCCAAAGGTCTTAATGTGATTATAAATAGGTTTTTGGCAAAAAATGATATGATATGGGTTATTCCTAGTAGAGCAGATGTAGGAGTACGGTTGATAAGATAGCCAGCCGTAAGGATACATTCACCCCAAAACTCAATAGGTAAATTAGCTTGAAACCGAAGTGCACGAGCCACATTAAGAATATGACGGTGCTTTCGTTCTGCTCGCCCATTTTGTTGGGGGGTACCAAAACATGATGTTTCAAATAAAATACCTTGTGAAGAAAAATAATTTCCCAAGGATGTAAATTCAGACCCATTATCACTTCGAATACGTTTCACAGTCTTGTTGAATTAAGTTTGAGTCATTACATAAAAATTCTTAATAAGTTTTGCAACCTTTGTCTTATTAGCCATTAAGTATATCCAAACTCCTCTTGAATGATCATCAACAATTGTTAAGAAATAAGAGGCACCACATGAAGAGAGAACACTATACAGACGCCATACATCATAATGAATCAATTCAAACAAATCACCTGCTTTATTAGAACTAATAGGAAACAATGTATGAGTTTTTTTTGCTTTAAAACATACATCACATGGTTTGTATTTATTTTTAAGAGAATCATTATTACTAACACCAGGAAGAAGGCCGACTATTTGTGAAGAAGAATGTCCAAGGCGCCGATGCCACACTTGATAAGAATATGCATCCATTGCATGGCATAATCGAGTTTTTGGTGCCATCGAGCGAAGCCAATAGAACTCATCCCTCTCTTCACCCGCTCCAATCACCATCCTCAAAGTGTGGTTCGGTATCACACATAGCTTGTCAGTTAATGTGACTACACAATTTAAATCTTTGATTAATTGGGAGAAAGAGATCAAATTGCAGGTTAGTCTAGGAACATATAGAACATGTTGAATAGTCCAATTTTCACCAAGAGTTGTTATCCCTTCTTGGACATCATTAGTATGTGCCTCATCAGGCATTATAATAGGAGAAGGAAAAATATCAGAGAGATCCATAAGTAAGCGTTTATCTCCAATCATATGATATGACGCCCTTGTATCCAATATCCAAGGAGAAAAAGACTTGCCTATCAATTTTTCATTGGCAAAAGGTTTATAATTTAAAGATTTAAACATATTAAAGATGGTGTTCGATTGATCATCTATTAAAGCATGACCTACATCATTTCTGTCTTGGGTTGTCAAAACAGGTGAGGCAGAAGAAGATGGTGTTGCAGATTGAGCAGCATTAACAACACCAAGAATACCTTTTCCAACACCAACAACGCCTTTACCTTTTCCGTTGTTCTTTCTATTTCCACGTCCATTATTCCACCATTTCGGATAGCTAATAATTTTAAAGCAAGAAGCCGCTTCATGGCCTGACCTCCCACAATGGGGGCAAATAGTCTTCTCAAAATGTCCTTTAGATCCACCATGATTAGAAGAACCACCACGGACAACAAAGATGACAACCTCATTTCGTGCTCCACGCACCTTCGTCATGGTTTTGTGGCGCTCTTCTTGTACCACCAGAGAATACACTCGGTTTAAGGAAGGAAGTGGATCTTGAGCGATATTGTTAGAACGAAGTGTTCCATACAGATCATCATCCAAGCTCATCAAAAATTGGTGAACTCGCTCATCCTCACGTTCCTTGCTCAAATTTTCCGCCCATTTGCAAACACATTTTCCACATGTACAAGCTCTCTTCGTGAGATATGTAGACAACTCATCCCAAATTTTCTTCAAATTCCCGTAGTAAGCAGCAGCACTCTGACCATTTTGATCTAAACGTGCCAGTTCAGATCGCAGCTGAAGATTACGCGGTATGTTGCCAGTGGAGAACCGCTGATGTAGATCGTCCCACAAATCCTTTATTGTATCATAATAGGTAATGGTAGACCGAATAGATGCATCGATGGATTGAATAATCCAAGCTACAAGCATGGAATTGACACTACACCAATCCTCGATTTCGCTTGCATTAGCCGCTGGTTTGGCACTGTCCCGTCCAAGAAATCGTGTTTGTGTTTTGCACGAAATGCATTACGCATACTGATTTCCCATTCTTGATAATTGTCACCCTTTAAAGACACCGGACAAATATTCATGCCAAGATGATCAGAAGGATTCAAATAATACAGTGATGTCGTATTGAGAAGAATATACTTCTTCCTTTTATCGCCGTCACTCGTATGCTTCTATGTACTTTCTCCATCAGAATTGTTTTCAGCCATGGTATTTTTATTAAGGCTGGCAGAAAACTAAAGAAGGAGAAGAAAAAAAATCAGAGTATCAATTTAGGTTTTGTAAACCAACTCTGATACCATAAAGAGATAATGTGAGACAATTATGCTTTTCTCATTCATTGACAAATGATTATATACAAAAGGTATACAACAGATTTCTCAAACTACATGCCTAAAGATTAGGGAATATTGATGATCAAATTATGTATGATACATGCTATTAAAATACAAGAGATATTTTAGGAACTACCTAATTAATGTTAAAATACAACTGCTAGCACAATTATATATATATATATATATATATATATATATATATATATATATATATATATATATATATATATATATATATATATATATATATATATATATATATATATATATATATATATATATATATATATATATGTGTGTGTGTGTGAGTGTGAGAGAGAGAGTAAGTTTTTATAACTTATTTCACAAGTCTTTAAATTAGATTTAATTGAATGGCTAGTCTTAGAATAAGTTGATATTTAACATCATTTAAAAATATATTTAACACAAACTCGTGTTCTTTTAAGCACTCGTGATTGAACAATCTACCATTGAACTGTAATATTAGCTTACACCCACTCTAAACATCACAAAAATTACACCAATATTCAAATATACAATCAATAAGCTAAAGGACTAAAGAGAAGCAAAAACACACAAAAATCAGCTACGTCATTAAACTTAGCTGTAAAGACCTTTGAGAAAAGAAAACATGTTTTCATCCAACAAGCAGAAGACTAACACAGAGATCAGAAGAATAAAAATTGCAAATTTATTTGCTGAAACAGAATATGTTGCTCGAGTTTCCGAGTTTGCTATTTCTGATCGTTCACCCACCTAATAATAGAAACCAACCAAGGAAGAAGCTCTTAGTATCAAAGACAAAATTGGCAGTATGTATGTTGATGACAGAGCCGTCATAAGTTTTTGGAAATTCTAAGTTGATTTGTCACAGTTTAGCCGTGACAAAACAAACAGAGATTCTACTTTGCGCGATAGTTTAGATTTTGTGCGGTAGTCTGCCTTTCACGCCAATAAAAACGGCTATGCTTGATGATATAGTAATTAAAAGTGACACAAAAAAATGTACCTGCCTGAAAGGTTTTTTTCAAGTGTTCTATTCGTTCTTCATCCCTGATTGAGTCAATGTTGAAAGCTTGAGCTTCATTTCTATTACTTTGTCCATTGTTGTATGCGCCAATTTGAGTCTCCTTTAACTTTCCAACCAAACTTTTATTTTCCATTTTTAAACAATCTAGCTGTTTATTGATGCGCTCCCTTTCAGCGGCTAGTTGAATTACCATATCCATGATTAACTTGGTTCTCGTATCAACTTCTTTTATACTCAATAATTTCGTATTGCTAGCTTCATCCATAGATGTTTTCAGACTAACCATTCTGGACTTGTGAAGATCCAACTCTTCATGAAGTTCTATGTTGGTTTCAGATAGCACAATGCATCTTTCTTCTGCACTGTCTTTATTACTTTCAGCTTTTGAAACCTTAGATTTCAGATCTTCGATTAATATTTCCATATCCCATATTGCTGTGTATAACATATTCTGCTGTTCTTGACTTGCTTCAGAAGATACTTTCCCGTTCTGTAGTTGGATATCTAATTCCCTTACTTGCTTCTCAAGTAAACCGACTTTTTTCTCAGCCGTACTAGCACTTGCTTTAAGAAAATCCAGCTCCTCGGTAAGCTCCATGTTTGTTTCGGTTAACTGCGTGACTTTTTCTTCAGCACTCTCAGCTCGACTTTCTGTTATGTCAATGCTTTCTTTTAGAGTTTCAGCAAAATTTTCGATTTCAATAAGTTGTTCGTGAAGTTGTTCATTCTCTTCAGTCAACGAATTAATCTGAACCTCGTAATCCTTCTTTCTTTCTTCAAGAATTCTCACATTTTCCCTCAAAGCAATCACCTCGGAATTTTTTTGAACATCGTCGACGTTAGCACTAAGTCTCTCGTGGTTCTCTAAAGCAACATCTTTAACCTTCAGTTCTTCGATTAAATTTTGAAATTTTGATTTTAGCTCGTTTTCGCGTTGTATAGAACTGTTGAGGTTGAACTCAGTTACTTGGAGACATCCCATTATACCTTTCGAAATTCCCATTAACACCTCCGTCGCATTGTCTGCCTCAAGGAATCTTCCCCAAACAACTTCTGCTGTTTCTTCCATATAAAATGCCACTTGTTCTGCGTAGTGGAGTTTCATCTTTAGTTCTTCGTTATTTCTTGAATCTGCTAACTTCTTTTCAAGATCTATCTCCCTTGCAAGCGACTTCTCAAGCATTCGCAGAATATATTTTCGTTGTTTTGCCATCTGATCGTTCGATTTCACTTTCACGTCTAACAGTTGACCGTTTTCTGATAAACTCAATGCCTTCCCTGTATTCGCTGTTTACATGGATTACTAAGAAAGGTAAATAGTTGGGGGAAAAAACCGCAACCTCAACATAAAGAAATATCTGAGTAAATATTTCAACTTACAATATTCATCTTGAAAAGGCGCAAGACTATTCTGTAGCTGCGGCACCTGAATCTTTAACTCTAATAACTGCTGTTGAACTTGCTTGGCAGACTCTTCAAAATCATGCAATTTTTCATCCATTATAAAGAAAACCTCGGTGAAATGTCTGCACGACAATATTTTACGATGAGCATCAACAATTTCTTCATGTAGAGTGTCCATGAAATTGTCGAGCACTCTTACCTCAGAATCCAAAACGCCAGACAATAGATCAAACGCCATTGCCTTCTCAAACAAGGTTTCTAAATTGCAGGTATTCTTCGAGTCCATTTCTTCAAGATCATTTTCTCGGGCTAGCAGATAAATATAGAGAACATGCAAATTCACCAGCTTCTCGGAAAAATAGGCTAACCGATGATCTATTTCTGTTAAGGCTTGAAGGGATATCTCGAGTTCTTGTTTAGTTGAGAATTCCTTGAGTGAGTAGAGTTTTCCTAAAACAGCATCTCCGACGTAAAATCCATCTTCAACTTTATTACCAAATTCATCCATTGTTAATCGGTATATCTTGCAAACCCCTCGGTTCAGAAATTAGCAGCTAGTTCTGAGAGTAAGATAGAAATGTTATTTTGGTGCAAGAAGAGAAAGAACTTCACTTTGCATATTAATATTGTAAAACTAACGGTTCTTAACAGAATTTGTTAAGTATGACAACTAACTCTATCTTTATCCTATATTCTAGGAAATGAAATTTAAATGAAAAACAACATAAATTAACCGATGGTAATTATCATTGCTTTAGATTTGACAATACTTTACACACTTCTCTCCTCTCAAGCTCAGGACTGGAATTTTAACTGCTCCATGAGTGGTCTGATAGCAGATGGTTCAATGGATCTGTAGTAGGCTCTCATACCATTTTATAATTTGGATCAGGCATAACTCAACGGATACAAAGCCAATAGCAGGCGGCCTAATGGATATTGGATAGTCACTAATGAAGCATCTAATCCAGTCGTAACATCAGAAACCACATGAGATCTTTGTTTTCTAACAAAATATACTAGCAATCCTTATAAATCGACGAAAGATAACCACTAAAAACCATCAACTATAAACATCACCACCAAAATTCTAATGAAAATTCAGCTTATAACATATCAGAAAATTGAAAATTTCCGGAGCAATTCCCACAGATCCTTAACAAAAACATTAAACTGTCATTCCTATTAGACACAACAAGCATGACTTTCTAAATCCCACAAAGAACCTACAGGTAAAGAAAGTTCCAAAAATTAAAACAAAATCTCAATTGGGAACTCAGATTAATCCTTACCTTTTCCTGGAAAGTCTATCTGCAAGTACTTTTAGCCAAGTCTCAGCTTTTCTCATTCTCCAAGGTAAATAAATAATCAAAAGATCATCTTTTTCCTTATGAGGTGACACTGCCTCCAATTTGTGTGAATAAATGAGGTGGAAGAGGAAGAGGTAAGCACTAAAGTGCAAACAGATAACTAGTCAAACAAGAGCATAAATCTACCATAGAAAAATCAAAGAGAAAAATTAAGAATTGGAATGGGGTGCACGTTGATTTTGAACTGTTATAACAATGACTTTTTGAATAATTGAACTTTGAGCTTAAGTTGAGACACAAGATAAAACAATAGAGTATGAACAAATTGGGAGATAGGACACAGATCTATCAGTTCAATGTATGGTTTAGGTGGCTGTAAAGTTCAAGTGTCTTGGTTGTTGTGGAGGGGCCCTCTCCATGGTTCAGACAATTTTCTGAGACAAAATTATAAGTGGTCATTAGATAATTGTTCGGTAACAATTTCTTTTATAATTGTTAGAAAAGGATGTTTATAGCAATTTATTTATATGAATGAAATGGATAATATTAATAAAGATATAGAAAAGATCAAGATGTGAGAACTCTTGTGAGGGCATGAACAAACTTATTTACTTGTTTTTTAATAAACTGAACATGTGGATTTACAGGATGAGTGCTCAAAAATTGTTTGCAGTCATTAGTAATATCATTGAATTCAAAGACAGTAAGTAGGGTTGTTTTTATGGAAGTTATTAATTAGTCTTTTAACAAGGAGTTATTGGTGTAAGAAATAGGGAGGCATTGCCTACTTCATATAGTGATTACACATTCAATAAAAACCCTAAAATATATATTTTTTTTTATATTTTAAATTTTAAAATCCAAACACGTCTATTCTATAATAAAATGACTTTACGACTGAAACACTTCATATTTGTCACAACAACAAAAAAAATCTGAATCCAATATTTGTATCATATATTCAAATTTCAATCTCTAGATTAACCTCATGCCAGTATTTTACAACTTTAACTGTAGTTAATTTTTTTTTTTTGTTATTTTTAAGAGGAATTTGCGATCTTGATACTAGGATGGTTCTCAAGAATATTTGTCCGAAAGATAAACTTGGTTTTGGTTTTATATATAAGACTTGAATGTGTTATGCTAATTTTCCAAATCATTATAGAAGAAATTTTGGGTTTAAGTCTTTCTTTTTTAAATTTGAGAATTCATTCTTGCCTAATCTTCAAGGTGTTTGTGTTCATAGTTTAAACTCTTCAGTTTTTAGTATCTCTATTCAACCGGTTTCTTTCAGATTTTCTATGGGAAATGAGACATCGGATTTTCTATGGGGAATGAGACTTCTTACATGATGGTCATTTATGCTAGTATAATTAATATTTATAGAAAAAAAAATCTTTAGTATGAGTCTAATTTCCTTTAATAGATAAATTATGGTCATTGGTGTTTCATGGAAGATTAATACCATTTTAGGAGCACATTAAATAAGTGGAATACACTTTCTTAAGTAGATCTCATGTGATGAGTTTAAATTTCGGCCTGAGTCTAATAACTTGATCCACTTGGAAATTTCTAAAAGCTTTCTTACTTGGTCAAATAATAGAAAATATTTAGCCTACATTCTATGTGTAGTGTTATATTTATGAATATCTAAATAGAAGCACCCTCGCCTAAGAATGATATTGCCTAAACGATGATTTAAGGACTCGTCTTTAACTACCATGACGTGTAAAGCTAGTCAAGAAAGGGAAAATCTACCATTACTCCCAGAAGGTTATGTGGTTAATAACTCCCCCTAATCATGAGGGAGCAGTTACTGCCACTTAGGATTATCCAAACCCTAGGCTTAAAAAGCCTCTATAAATACAACCTCCCTCAGAGAAGGAAGGGACAAACCATTACACCAAAAAGCATAACGCTTAGCAATATCGTAACTTCTATGATCACACTCCTCAGAAGCTTATATATAAGCACACCATCCATCAACAAGGCCTCACACTTCATGTGAGCAGGACCCCTAAACCACCGCAAAACACCACCATACAAGACTTCTCTCTGTCGCGGGCAAATCCTAACAACCTAAATTGTTATAAACCTGCTAAGGCCTCAGAGTCCTCATGCCCTTGCAGGAGGAACACACACATGACTTTTTGACTAGTACAATATATCCCACCGTGGGCCCTAGTAAAACTAACATAGGTCACACCATCTTCATCATCATCACCTTATTCGCTACCACCTTTTACTCCAACGCCTAGCCACTTCTGGCTATGGTTAATAGGAGATATCCATCCCTTACGCCATAAGGTACCAGCGGTAACAGTGATTCTGACACCCTAGTGGAGATGCATGTCTACATGACCGAGTTACGTCACCATGACCAGACATTGGAGGACGACGTCCACAACTTCAAAGAGTTCCAACAGGAGTCAAATCCCTCTGAGGATATGGAATTTTTGGACCCCTAACCACTCTCAAATGAGATATGGGGGCTGCCCGTCCCCGAGGGCTTCAAACCCCTTTCCTTAGCAAGTTTGATGGGCGTAGTGATCCCTACGAGCACATCACCTCCATCAACAAACAAATAGGCATCATAGAAGCACCTGATTCCCTAAAGTGAAAACTATTATTCGACACTTTCAGTGGTACTGCCCTTCGATGGTATTCGGGTCTACCTCGTGCCTCCATCTGTTAGATGATAGGATTCGATCTAGAGGAGGGGTGAAAATATCACAAGTTAAAAACTTTTAGCAAAAACTGTTTTGTAAATTTTTATGGCATAACGAAAACAACCTGAATCGAATCGTCTAACTGAATCTCTACCGAAAAGCTCAGATATACGTAAAGGTACACAAACGTATGATAATGAACACAAATTGTTCAATAACGATTAATCACAAGCAATTGAATGTAAAGTTATACGTAGAGCTTATTCCCAATGATCAAAACATACAAAACACAATAAGAAAATTTATCGAACATCTTGTGTGCAATCGATATCGTTTTGAAATTTACTTTATTTTGTTAATCTTAAAAGCCAATCACAATCAAATAAATCATGATTATATCAACAAAACCTAATTCAAAATGTGATAAAAAATAAATCCTAAACAAATTGATTAAACGAACAATGAATTCAATAATTTACAAACACAAAATTAAAAGAGCGAGAGAGGGGGGGGGGGGAGAGAGAGAGAGAGAGAGAGAGAGAGAGAGAGAGAGAGAGAGAGAGTACACAAGGATTTGTTTAGGCAGTTCCCTAATCGACCTTTCTATGGGTACGTCTTCCCTATATTCAAGTTCGAATTGAGATATTACAATATATCTTACTTTGCAAATGTGTGTGTACAAGGTATGAAGAACTCTAACCCTATAAACCCTAGGTTTTTTTGTTGATTCTACCACCTTTAAAACCTTTGATCAAAGACTGATCAAGTAACCAACAACACTGCTTCAATTCACCCGTTCTTGCTACTTGTAGCACCCTAAAATTTGCCCATCTTTCTTCTTGTATCTTGGCTTATGTTTCATTGAATTTTAATTTTCATTTTTGCATAGCATAGTTCTAGACTAAGGATCAAGGTATCATGGTTTGTTTCTCACGGAAGAGTGACATGTTTCTTCAACCTCAAGCAAGGTTTTCTTCTTGACTTTATGGAATTATCAAGCTCTAAAGGTCCTTCATCATCAATTTTAATTCAAGATAACATCAATTCAAAATCATATGTGATTCACCATGTCCTAATTTGCAAGATATAATCAAGAGATTCAAAGTTGGTTCAAGGTGTTTGACCTAAGTTAGTAATTTGTGGATGCTATGATCAAATGAGCATAACTTCTTCATTTTTCAAAATCTTGAGGTGGTTATTTTTTTAATGAACTCTTCTCATCATCCCAACATGTTCTCTTTGCAAGGAGAGATCCAATTATTCTTGTAAAGTCATCAAAAGTTTGAAGACATTATAGGTTATTTTGAGTTTTGGAAGGATTTTCTAGTCAACTTCAAAAGGTCATAACTTGGTCAATTTTCATCATTTGGAGTCCATTCATTTTCTAAAATGAACTTGAAGATGTCCTCTACAACTTTGATTCAATGTGGAAGTGCAAAAAACCTATGGAAGACCTTTTTTTTTATCAAAACATTATAGGTCATTTTTGGTCCCTAAAAAGACTTGAAATTTTTCTAAGTGTTTTGTAA